TCTTTCCGATAACCAACAATCGACAATCGATAGTAGATTGATAGCGACACTAATGGATCTCGTGATATCGTATTTCAGATGGATTGCTTGACAATAATGATAAAACACATTACAAGATTCTAGATATTTTAAAAGCAACGCCTCATGATGCGACAAAAATTTTCTTAAATTTATAAACACATACCTTTAACAGTGGTAGAATGTAACCTTTTAACTAATTGCAAATGTCCATGGGCAGCAACCGCTTCGTTTAATACTTAAAACTTAATTCTTTGATATTATAATCGATTTTAACTATCAAAGACAATAGGTCAAAGTGGCAATAACGCTTGAATCACCAATATGGCGACAAAAAGCTAACATATCATGTCGTATGAGAAAATGTATTCAAGGGTCCCATTTCAGATTCTGTCCCAAGCATATGTCACTGAAAGTGGCCCTCTAGGGATAAGATAGACAAGCAAAAAGTGAATATTACAGATATATTCGCATTATTGCGGCACGTTTACATTGTCTTATACGTCACGATATTTGTTCATTCACAATTTTTCATATGTATCTTCAATAAACCCTTGAATTAAGTTACTAACGCAGAGCCTGTACCAATTACTTTAAGTCTTATATTTTGAATACCCCAATCAAGTGAAAAGAATTCCGCATTGTACAATATAGGTTGTTGAATTTAAAATTTCTGTCTGTGTGTCTGCAAAGCCGCGTTTGTTCCGGGTAATATCCGATCTCCGAACTACTGCAACGATTTTGAAGCGTCTTTGACGGGAAGGTAGCTGACGCACGCGCGCACGTTATAGGCTACTTTATTTTCTGCGCTGGCGAAGTCGAGGGCGACCACTAGTTGTTAATAAAAGCATAATAAGAGATGAAATGGAAACTTCGTACGAGACGCCTCATGCATAAGTTATATGGGCCGGTAAAAAAATGATTTTACATACTCCTTGCAAGTTTTTTGCTACCGTAACAATGTTTTTTGTTCCAATATCACATTTTCAATTCACTTGATCCATTTGGCAATTTATTACAACATACACGCAGATAACCTTTTCTACTATGTTTCTTTTAAAATTACTTCATTTTATATCTTTCTAATATTATAAATACGAATGTTTAGACGGATGGATGGATGTTCCTTTGAAGGGATCTCCGGAACGGCTGAACGGATCTCGCAGAAAATTGTCATAGATATAGAACATAGCCTAAAAGAACACACAGGCAAATTATTAAGTTTATTTTTAATTCCGCGCGGACAGAGTCGCGGGCGATAGCTAGTAATAAATATACAATATAGTACAAGTATATAGATTAGCTACGTTGTATATGTAATGTGCTTTGTAATCTAACTTCGTAGCATTTGCGTAGTCATCAGTTTATCAATCAAAGCGAGCTATGTGTAAACTACAGTAAGCTGTCAAAATAATTAATGCCTAGTGTTGATCGATTGCCAACTCACTGCTATAACAATAACTAAGGTAATTCGTACATAAGGAAATGTAAATTTTCAAAACTTGGCAATTTTAGCCACTAAACGACTTACGTAAATAAATTCATAGAGGTACAAGGGCAGTCGTCGGCATGCTATCTGTCATCGCCAAAGTGAGTCATCTCGAAACCTATTTGCTAAGATTGTGTAATTTTCAAGGTAGTTGAATATTACATGGAAGGAAAAACATGACAGGACAGCTTAAGTATGAAAAAGATCTTGTGACACTTTTTGGTATTGACATGAGGGCGCTAGTGAGCTATGATAATTTAGTTTTTATTATGCTCACCGGGTCAAATAACTTTATCAGTCTATAGGCATTACTAGCTAAACACCTATGCAACAACTTTTCTACCTTTAATACCTTTAACTTTTATACCTTCGGTTCTCTTAGAAAGAATTGTATTTTTGCAAGTTTTGACAATGGAAAATCCCGATTAATTAAGAACCATTATATGTAAGAAACACTTAGTAATATTATAAACGAAAGATAATTTTTATCAATTACTTATAAATATTTTTTAATTTATATAACGTAGTATTATGTTATATACTATGTTAATACATAGTTGAAAACAAATATACACTAGCAACTTTACAACTTTATCACGTTGAATTTTTCGGCGAAAATTGATTTTACATTAGAATTTCTTCAAGCTTGATTTATATTTCAATTTATTGATTATCATTTGGTAACTAAACTATACATAACACTGGCTTTTCTTGTCTTTTTGTATTATAACTAATTTATGATTTACAAAATTGACGACTCATATGCTTCAATATATTCCTTTCTTGCTCTCCGAAACTTCATATAAATGTTATTTCAAATATAGCACTTGTAAACTTACGTTTTTTTTCGATTACTTGCCACTAAACTAATCCTATCATTGATGCGACAAAAAACCAGATTTTTTCTTTTATTTTTAATATATAGTGTTTGTTTTTATTATGTATATAAAAGCCATATAAAGAAACTTATTTTCTATTACTAATCGTAAATAACATATGACTACAATATGTATTGTTTCAAAATAATTATTTTGGTAAGAACATGTATATTTTTAAAGCTACATAATCGTCGTTTATTTACTTCAATAAACATTTTAGTGTACATTTGAATCTCTCTTTTCCAATCTACAAAATTAAAATAATTACAAACTTAAACTCATTCAAATATCTGCTATCTACGTAAATTATTCTGTCCATTCTTAATGCGTCATTTAAATTTCAGGTCTTTTGTATTATATTTTGTGGAAATTTAGTCCTGGCATCAGAAAACAGGGTAAAAGAACGTGATGCACCACAGGACCAAGTAGACGCAAATGGAAATGATGATAATCAAGAATCAAGAAGATTCATGAAACCATTTAAACGTACGTAAAATTAATCTATTTTTTTTATTCTAACTTATCTATGGGTTACCATTGCGGTGATACATGACAAATATTGTTATCTCTTATATTCTCTTTGATGAGACAGAGACGACCGTATGTGTCATTATACATGTCACTGCATTTGAAACCTAAAGCCATATTTAAATTCTCGGTGACCATAATGCAATTATTTCATGGAAGTAATAACCAGTTATTACCTGACTATTAATTACAGTGGAAACTCGATTATCCAAATGAAGTATGAAGAGAAGAAGTTATGTGTTTATTAAAAATAACTAATGTTAATTAACAAATATGAGATATGTTTGCGTTGGACTGCAGTCCCATACTGGTGGGTAATACCCGTAGTCCGGGCAGCGAATACTACTGGCGTAATCGAGTCTACTAGCGGAATGGTCCGGATAATCGCGTTTCTTCTGTAAATATTCGAAATCCTTAAATGATACTTATTACTGTATTACATATATAATTTGCAATTTTAATTTCAGAGGTCTTCGAGAAGCTGGAGAAAGCAGGCGATGCTTTCAAAAATCTTTTCGATTTTAATGACAAAGATGAATAAATAATTTAACATTTATTATATTACTATTATTTACTTAATAAATCTTTGTACCATAACTTTCACATTATACAAAGTAGTTTTTTAATATTTAATAGGGTGGCAAACGGGCGTGCGACCACCTGAAATAGATGTAATAGCGAAGCCACCGTTGCCCACATACACAATTGCATATGCTTTTCCTACCTTTAATCGACGGAAAAAGTGATGCACAGAAAGAGAACATTTTCCCTTCCACTTTTACTTTCCATCCTTTCTTTATATGAAAAAGTGTGGGAAGGGAAACAGACTAAAATTAGGCCTCCGGTACCACACTTATGCTACGAAACGCGAAAATGCTTCCACTTTATTGTCTGTGTGGTATTGCACCGGGCGAGCCGGCCAATTCGTGCGATGTTAAAGCGGGCTCTACCACTGTTAGAATTAGCAGCGTAGATATTGTTGATTTTTAAAAAATAGCATTAATAATATATTTTCAAAAACTGATAGAATGTACAAATGTAATCATCCTTTGAGATTTTTATTATAACATCAAACGTAGTAATTTTTCACTACTTGACTGGAACTAATATGTACGCAGTTTAATAAATTGATTTTATTATAAAATTATTCGGATTACACGAATCGATTTTAGTGGTTATTTGCTATATAATTGAATTATATCCAGAATTTTCTATTAAATTAGAAAAAAGAAACAAAAAATTTGTTATAAGGAAACAATTTAAAATCATTTTTTCGATACTTATCATAGCATAAGATAAATATGAAGCATTACTTCAATCTTTTATTACTTAAACCCGCCAATTTCATACAATCACGGTCAGAAAAATTTTATTCCTGCAGCAGAAATAAATGATAATTTTCAAAAACAAGTCGTAATATAAACAACGAACTATTTTTTCAAGTTTTCCGAAAAAACTATTCACTTGGACGAATTGCTGGCCTGTGAAAACTTCAATTATTTCAAAGGCTTCAACTGTAATGAAAAAAGAAAAGACTAGATGTTTTTATATTATAGATATCTACAACTCAGTCTAAGATCGTTTTTGTTAAAGCTCACTACACAACTCACGATTGTGACCAAGACAGTTAGGCACCATGGATCTCATATATAATCGAAAAACACATTGGTACATGGCGGGATTCGATCACAGGACCTGCAGATTACAAGTCAAGTACTTAACCCGTGAGCCACTATACTATTTACTAATATTATAATTGCGAATGACTAGATGGATGGATGTTTGTTTGAAGATATTTCCAGAAAGGCTGCATGGACCTCGCTGAAATTTGGCATAGATGTAGAACATAGTCTTGAAAAACACATACGCTGCTAATTACGTTTTTATTTTAAATTTCGAAGTCGCGGGCGACAGCTAGTATGTTGTACTATTCATAGCTTGATACATTAACCTCTAATCAGACCGAAACAAAACTTGTATATGCACCGTAATAATGAATTATTGTAATGTAAAACTTTGTTAAATCAATTAGCGATGAAGGTTGTAATTATTAAAAATAATTACTGTGAATATAATCTTTTATTTTATTTACGAACTCTACACAAGTCACATCACTAAATATGATTGTTTTTCATTTACTTTTAGTGGTAAGTTTAAAATAATGTATTTATTTTTAAGAATAAATATAACATAAAGGGTAAAGATGATTCAAAGATACTTTTTTTTTAATTTAGAAAATAGTTTTTATATTGCCAAAGTTTCCTTTCTAACGCGAAACTTTAACTATTTTTTTATAAGAGAAGGGGGAAAACGACCGGCGGGAACACCAAGGTGATCAACGACACCCATGGACATCTGCAACACCCGAAGAACTAACTTTCCATTAGACCAATATATTAAAAATATGCTTGATCATATCACATCAAATTGATTAATTTCAGGCATTTTCAGCAGCACAAGAAACACACATAGACTCAAACGACATAACAGATGTTAAACCAGACATGTCATTTGAACTGGAAGACTTAGACGACTATAGTAATGGTCCAAATTATCCATGGCTTGAATACTTAATAAAATTATCACAATCTAATTACAATAATGATGATTCCTCCAGTTCTTCTGAAGAAATGTCTTTTAAACACGCGAGATCTGATCCTGAAGCTAATGCTGAAAAGAATTTAGATTTTGCAAACGACTATGACGATAATATATTGGAAGCACCGACAAGCAGAATGGTTTCACTTTTGGAACTTTTTGGACATTTTCTTAGTAAGTATATAAAATGCAAAATTTCTGTAACGAATAAAATTATTTTATATTTTATCAGTTACCAATGTGTCAAATTATGAATACCGTTATTATTTCTTACGAATATAATATTTACTTACAGATGGAAAGAAAAAACTTCTAAACGGAATAAATGAAGGAGTTCTTGGCGGTAAAACATTTTTAGATGGTATTCAAGAAATAACTAAGGGACTAGGCGATTTATTAGCAACGACTTAAAACAACAATAATAAAATACATTTTTCTCTCAGAGATATTATAAATAAATGAACATTATGGTTACAAAAACGATAACTTATTTCCACTAAGGATACCGCTAATAATCAAACTATATTTTTTTTTAATATTTCGAAGCTATCTGGCAGCATTCAATTCATGGTGTTATAACCCGGTGGTAACCATAGGTGTGTAATGTTTGGAAGAAAATTTTACACTGTGCCAATGTATCGGCGCAACACTAACCTTATTAAAATATCAACGTTTATGTCCCCTCACTAATCAATCTGACACTTGACTAAATATACGTAGACGTAAATGATTCTAACTAATATTGTCTAAAAGTATGTTTACCACTGGGTTATAACATCATTCTATTTTCTTATCCCTCAGTTAATGCAAACGTTTTGACATGGAAATAGGATTGTCTACCCGATGCAAATTTCAGTATAATCCGCTTGTTGAAATGCCATGACAATGAGGCCGATACACGTTCCCGACTGCGGTTCACGACAGTTGTGCTGTATCGATTTTTCTCACTAATAACAACGTGTTTTCGTTAGTGAGATAATCCTGTCACAAAATATATGAGACTCCGGTAACGCATCTTCATTGGCGATGCTCGAAGTTTATATGTTGCGATAATCACAAACAAAAAACAAAGTGTTGCCAACATTGAGAATTAATATTACGAAAAAGAACAAAGAATAAAAGGCAGATAAGATAACACGATCAGGCATCGATTTTCAGACCACTAATATAATGAGAAAGCGGCACTGATATATCAATTATTGTAACACATTCAAAGAGCATTGATTTAATAACTATCTATTTGATTAAATAGGTTTAAAAGGTTACGCAACACATACAAAATAACCCAATTTTTGAGCACAAACCTTGTGATATATTTTTTCATAATTCACTCAAATAAACCCAAAGGGTTTTCTCGCAACAATATTCCTTAAAAGCATGTCACTGCTGACACTATTTGTCATTCGCTAAGTGATTTCCAGCGCTGTGTTGCTACATGTTCCGTCGAACCGTTGAATGCCTGTACCACCACTTACGAAACTTGAGTGCTGAATGTGTTTTATTTTTCACTTTACAGCAAGTATAAATATTTCAAAATTAAAGATTTTCACAAAGTGGTAAACAGTTATTAATGGAATTCTCGGAAGATACAAGAATTAGATAATAAAATAAAATAAGTGCCGACAAAAATGTTCATACTTCATCTGTTTATTCAAAGTTGATAAAAATGGCGTCTCTGTTTCACCGAGACATTCCAATCTTTGTTTATTTGTAAATCCTCTATCTGGCCTGATAAAATAACGCCAAAGCATTTTTATCTCAAAAAAATGTTGCTGATTTAAAAGTTCGTGACACTCGTTTTTAGCCATAAAAGTATATATTTAAAAAAAACGTACTAAAAAGAGGTATTGAAATATTTTTAATCTGGTCCAAATAGTCCTTTATAAACTCGATGGTTTCGATGGAGCTGTCAATCGTTTTAAAACGGAGCGAATCTCTTTGTTCGGTAGAATCCAGGACGTGTGAGAGTTTTAGTACTCGTATATTTTTAGTTACACGATTTTAGTTTGAAATACACGTAAAAGGATACAGAAGCGTTGTTAACTTGTAAAGAGTTAGTATTATTTTTATTGGTGTTCCCTTTACAATATCCACTTAATCATTCAAAGATACACTTAACTACAATCACTAAACGTTTCCGAGACCAAAATCTCTGTATAAAACATATCGTCATCTCTGTCATTATCGTTAATAAAACAGAGATAGTAATATGTTGTTAACATCAAAAATTATATGCACTCTATGGATTAAAAAATCCACAAAAATATTATACCATTCAATGATCTTTCATTGGTTTTAAAAAAATATTTTCATTCGATTTTTTGTGTTAAATTATTAGAAGTTTTTTATTAGGTGCTAGACTTGAGGCACGTCTTCGCAATTTTTCCTCATAATAATAAATTCCTTGAGCAAGTTGAAGTGATCTCCCTGGGTATGGTTAACTTATTTTACGGCGAAAGTTCGCGCCGCTTGTGTTCAAATTACACTATTCTCAGAGTTATAAAGATATGCCTCTTATCGATAAAAATAATTTAACGCATCTATTCTATTTGATTTAAAAATTAAAAACTTCCAACGAGGTAAACCAATTTTGTATTTTCTTATTAGATAAATCTTACTAATATTATAAATGCGAATGTTAAGATGAATGGATGTTTGTTTCATGGTATTGCCTATGCTAAACGGATCTCGATGAAATTTGGTATACATATAGAACATAGTCTAGAAGAACACATAGGCGACTTTACGCTATTTTCTTAATTCCTCTCAGACAACAGCTAATGCTTAATAAATATTACAGCATAATTTTTTTCCGTAGATATGTTTTATATAATATCTTAATTAAACTTCTTATTAATATAATATACCGAAGGATTATCTATCCCGCAAAAGGTTAAGCTGGATTAATGTCGATATTAAAATACAAAACTTTTTAATCCGACCATTATGAGGTTGATTATAATTTCAAAACTTCACACACAAATATTCCTTTATGGATAACGAATTTGTTTTTCACTCTGCATCACAATTACATCGTATTTTTTTTTGTTCTCCAATTTGATATAACTGGACTTGAAATATGTCATATAGAACGCATAATCAGTAAAGTCTAGAAAACAAGTATAAATCTAAAAGAATTGCTAATACACCAATCTAAACACGGGGGAGACAAATTGGATTTAAAAAGTCTATTAAAAGGAAAGGAAAACATTCTGATACAACCTGCATACCTGAGAAGAAATTCAAAGATAAGAATGAAGTCAACCAAGCTGGGCCAGCTTTTGACTGTGGTCTAGCTTCTAGCACCCCTAACTTAGGGTAGGCTCCGAGCCCATCAGTGGGGACGTATAATGAGCGAAGACGTATTTATAGTGCATGATGCATGACCACCAAGAAATTAATCTTATATACGTCACGTTACACACAAAACACTTGTATCGCAATTTAAATGACCTATAAAGTCGGCTTACAATATATACGAACATAAAATAGTTGAAATAAAACTAATTACCAACTTATAGACGGCCGAGTTCGCAGCAGATTTAATTTGTTCTATAGCTATTTTTGGCGCCAACTCCACTTAATTAGATACATATTAAAACTGTCGTTTGCGATGTTTTGTAAAAAAAAAATAACTCGTATTGGCAAGCTGTGTATTAGTTATAATCTCCAAATAAAAATTTCAATGTAATCTAGATATTAAACATAAATTTTTATATTACTGATTTTATTTAAACTTGCTATAAATTATATTCCGTATATAGTGATTTTAGTACAATAAAGCGCTAAGAAATTTTAATTACAGTCGAGATTTCAAACTTTGTACGCATTCATGTTGTGGTTTCATAATTATTTCACTTAAAATTCTTTCGAATTAAGAGTTATTACGAAAACATCACATTGTTTCACCTTTATGAAACCCATATAGAGTCGACTTTCTCGGTTTTCTTCAGATCGATGTAAGTATTTTCTATATTTAACGCTAAGTATGTATAATAAGTCGATTCAAGCCTTAAATCAGTAAGTTAGTTTATCGAAAAGTTAGCTTGTTAAGGCAAAGGTTCCACGGTGTGTGGGATGCGGGAGAAACTAATAACTAAGTTGGACGTATTTATCTAATGCAGGTGAATGGACCATTTAGATTATCCGTTACTTTTCTTTGAGTACGTTATTAATGGTATCAAAACAAAACACGTCTTCAAAAACAAGCAAAGAGTTTGAGAAACAACTGGTTTGTGAAACGTAATTTTTAAAAATAGAATAATTTCTTGGAACTTTGAGTATTTATCTAGAGTACGAATAGCTTGCGTTCGATAACAGGAACAAGATAATGAGAAAAACTTGAATAAGAAATTGCGTAATTAAATTAATTTTTAACTGTTCCGATACAAAAAATTTGAAAATGCCTCTGCATAACATTTGTTTATTAATTTATCACTTTATTTTAAGATTTTACATTAGTAATATTAAAGATACCGAAATGGATTTCTTTATTTCATCGATGCGATTTGATATTGAAAATTATCCAATGCGTTGATATGCGGTGTAACGAGCTTTGTCTAACTTGAAAAACATCCTGTATTTTAGCCAAATTCCACAGAAAAAGCGACTGGATTCCATAAAAAATATTATATTACCGATATTTTAAAGTAACTATACCTATAACATAAATATTACAAATACAACCTCTCTAATTTAGGGTAGAAATATGTGTTTTGTTTAATCGGGTCGCCATATTTGTTTACATTTAATAGCCTACCAGTCTCAGGTGAGAGTCTTTCCAAGGATTACAAAAACTGACATTTTACAATGATACGGGTCCAAGTGATACATTAAATATAATGTAAATGATTAAATTATACTCACGTTTGCTTGGTTACAATGTTATAACCTAAAATTTCTTCTCTATTTAAGTTAAATCTTAATATCCACAATTAATACGTTTTAATTGATTTAAAACCAAACAGTCGCTGCACTTATACAAACACATAACGAAACAAAACACTTCCACTAAAAAACAAAAAACATTTTTAACACAATAAACCGCGAGTATTTAATTGCAACTGTCAAATCAAATTTATTTTTTATTATTATTAGCATAATTCTTTTCAGCCAGTAAGTCATTCTGCCAACATTATAAAAATGTTATAGTAGGTATGTTATGAAAAAAATTTGGTTGTTGTAAAAATATGTGACAAGGTATTTTAGTGAGTTTAAATTATTTATTAATACTTAAATCCTAAGTATTCTTTGGTGCTGCTTTAAGGCTGACTGTAAGTTTTCGACCTTCTTGTGACCTTTTTTCACTGATAACGCATTTGATAACAATTAGTATTAATTTTATCAGTGTAGTGCAGTTTAGTTCTGGGGTGAAACGAAAGTGGCATCCACATGGAGGGGCAGCATCACCTGAGTTTTTCCAAAGTCACCGGCACAGTTTAGGTAAATTGACATAAATATTTGTCAAAATATTTCAAAACTACTTCTGATTGATTGTAAGTTGTCTTTTGTTTTTTTATGTGAAGCAGTAGTCAATATGTTTTTAAACAAGTGTATAACAGGGGAAACCTATAGTAAATTCAATGTAGCGAATCACATTTTCTAAAGTTCCGTAAAATCGTTCGCTTGCTAACGCAGGTTTGACGTAACCGCTGAATAAACTACGTAACTAAAAGTAAAGGAAGGATACATGTAAAAGGCGTAACTATGGAACCGCTGACACAATCCGATTCGAAGGTATTGCTTCTCCTGCTTTAATGATTAAGTGGAACCCTAACCTTATCTATAGGTTACTAAAACTAAACTAAGCTTAAAAAACTTAGACTGTGTTATTGAAAAATATTTAACAATGTATTTTTACCGGAAGCAGTTTTGACATGTATTTAACAGTAAACACACACTTTTATGACCACGTTGACGTCAATAACAATCACCGGCGTTCAAAGGGTTAAAACGCGTCTTTAACTAAACAGTGTCTCGCTATTGCACCAGTATACCTTTCAAATGACATACAATCATTTTCGACTTTATTGTGTTTTTCCACAGCCGTTATACCTTTACAAAAACATATTGTGTTCTCTGTTTTTTCAAAAGGGATTAAAGCGATAGCAATATGTCAGTTAGGCAGGTCTTACGTCAGTGAAAACAAACTGATACACACTATTAAGTTTCTTTATTAATAGTTTAAGTGAATTGAATCGATCGAATACACGTACTTTCATAGTCTGTTAGATATTAATGGCAAATTAATAGCGTCATATCTGAAATCCGATAATAGTCGAGTACACTACAATAGCATAAATCAAGCTTATAGTATTCTAGTGGTCATTAGAAACGGAATTGTTTAGTAGCTGTAGTACATGTGTTACTAGCCGTTATCTATCCACTATGATGATTAAAAAATACAACAGAATAACACACGCCCGCAACCCAGAGGTGTATGCATAGAGCTCTTCCAATTGGCACAGTCCTGACACACCTCTCTTGCTTCTACATTAAGACATCTTCGCATACATGCACGTCGATTTCGGGTACACTTAATGCCGCCCTTCAGAAGTGTTTTATTAATACATATCTACATTAAAATGCTGTTAAAATATCGTATAAAAATTACAAATGATCAATTCAGTTATTCAAAATTTCTCAATTCAAAAATAATAATCTAAGGACGATTCAGCGTCGATTGAATTTATTCTTATAACGATATGTTTAGTGGTTTTCACGTGATTCATCATCATCATCATCATCAGCTCACTATACGTCCCCACCGAGGGGCTCGGAGCCTACCCTAAGTTGATTAGGCCATAGTCACGTGATTATTTGGAATTAAATATTAATATTTTTAAAACTTTACGTTAGAATAAACTACAAAATCAAATATTGTTTGTGTGTTTATCTATTTATGTACTAAAAATATTTTTATTTTTCTTTTAATAATAATCTATCTTAAAATAATAATATAATCTACGTAATAGTTTTTTCGATTCACGATAAATATTTTTCAATATTATTCTAAGGTAGAAAACAATGCAAAATCTTATCGACTTATTCATATTTTTTAAAGAAAACTTATAACCTTCAATTTTATTCACAAAACGATTGCATAAATTTGATTAATACCCAGTTCAGAAATGTATTCGTTACCATCTAGACTACAAAATGTTTTGTCATGTAAATACAAGCACCTGACCTGATGCAAATGATGACCCGCATAGACAAATCGTCATATTCGATGAGATTTTTTTTAAATAAAGGTAGTTTTACACTATGTCAATGTCACTGCGGATCATTTTTACATTTCTACGAACTAAAGTATTATAGTTGGCTTACATCCAGAATGTTTGATATCTGTAGTTTATTCTTACAACAAATTATTTATTATTATTAGAGTTAAAAAACGTTAATTATACAGTCAAATAGTTAAATTCAATACTAAACTAACGGCTAAAACACTCACGTATATTTATACGGTGTCGACACCGACTAGTGTCAAGCCCATCGTGGACTTTTCATCAGTTGACCCACTAGTCATCCTGATGAAGGGCCTTTTTCGACCTTGAGAATTCGCGTCTAGACTGTACATACTTATAATACGAAATGTCTTTGTAATATAAAATGAAATAAGAGAAAGTAGCCCATGTTAATAGAAGACATAATTCACAAGTTGTCATCGCTTAACTTCGCGAGCGCGAAACCGTAAAATTAATAAACTTTTGCTAACGAATTCACTCTACAATTTTACATAACAGGCTCCCTATTATTCAAACCGACATATAGCGACTGTTTTTAATTTTCAGTATATTTTTATTGATCAGATAATATAAAGGATTAACCTGTTTAACAGTATATTTAATTCAACACTATAATGCTTGTAATGTAACATAAATATTTAAAGCGTTATGTAACATACAGATTATGTTGTCACTTTGTCATTTCTATGAGTTTCATCTGTTCAAATATATTCATATTTGAACAGATGAAACTCGAGTAAAGTTTAATAACTTGAATTTTTTGAACCACCATGTATGTAAAAAACTACTTCCGGTGTATGTACTTTCTTTTATATTCGTCATAATTTCATAATTCATATTATGATTTCTGGTAAAGTCTAATATCAGCATACAATAAAGAGTTTATATTAAAATAAAACTGAAACACTCTCTAGGTTTTTCATGGCCTAGGTTTTGAATATTGAAACTCAAAGCCGTAGTAATAATGTATTCCCGTGAGTCCCCGAATCTCTAATAAGACAATACTTAATAATTCTTGTATTATGCCGAGGGATGGACGAAACAGATTTCTAAATCTTCGTCAAGTGCTCGGTGTTTTGACATGTAAATAGAGCTCGTCCTCAGTTGATGCAAATTTCTGAATAATTTGCGTCTGGAAGTTGTTTTCGTGAACAAGGCCGGCGATTGTTGAGTTCTATTGGGCTTTGTTTTTATTCTTTCTTGTTTTTAAACCTTGATATTTATAATTCAAATTTATTTGTCGTATTCCAACTGAGAAGACAAATACGTAAAATATATAAATAATAAACATACAACATCTGTCCTTATCACACTAACGTAGAGTTGGCACACCAGGTTTCCGTCCGTCAGGTGTCAGTCTATCTGCTATCCAATTTGTCTATCCAATTTTAATCATGTCACCTTTCGTGCAATCCACCCATCTCTTCTTAGGCATAGCTCTAGACATGTACCTCTCTTACCCATTCTACCCTCCTCACAACATGCCCATACCATGATAATCTTATACTACTCTATGTTATAAATAATTTACAGTATCGATTGAATAGTTTTACATTAACATGAATGACTATGGTGGAATAACGATTTCTGGGAAAAAAAATTGCAAATCTAATTTAAAATAAGAACAGTTGATCTGAGGAAATATTTAATATTTTAAATTATTATCGTATGACCAGTTAGATGTTAAACTATAAAGTCTAGAAGACCATGCGCGCCGCCCCCAATGAGCTCCGCGATACCGCCGGCCGCTTCATGTATGCCAGAGAATACGTTCTCCGCGCCAGCTACACCGTGGTCAATTACGTTGTGGAATCTCTTCTTTGCTTCTGTAAATAGAACAGAAGCAAAGGCAGAACGTTAGTATTAATTTTCATCTCTCTAACTACCTACTGTTTTCTTTAAGGAATGCCTATCAATAAATCAGGCGTTACATCCGAATTCCGTCCCTTACTACACATCGTCTTACTTCGGTAGAGGAAGACCTTTGTACCCATCTATAAGCCATCTTATTACTTTCTTGTACAAATATTTAACACCAAGACTTAAACTGTTTAAATAAATCTTGTTAAATATATCACGGAGAATATTTAAAGCTGATCTAGGATCTATATAAGGTCTATTTGTAGGATTTCTGTTACTAGATAAAATATAGCATTACGTACTTAGAATAGAAGATAGAACTCTCGTTGTCATCGCAATCAATCTTGGCGCCGATGGATCTGTCGACGGGACTTCGAATGCTTGATTTTTCTGGTACAATACTGACAATTGATCTGGTGTCACCAGATTCATTACAACCGGCTCCGGTATTCTGACCATAGCTACTTGATTATTATTCACAACGGTCACCAATTCGTTAGTACCACTTACAATTGGTAGGTCGCCATATTGATTTTGGAGAATCTGCATACGTCTACTGGGACTTATATTTGCAGAACCGTATTCCACCGGTATACCATCACTTGGTATATGATGATCCTCAATATAATCATCTACTGTATAAGGATAATATTCGTTCGTTTGAATTTCGTCGTCAAAGATTGGGTCAGGTCCTGTATAAACATGCTGGTCGAAATCGTATGGTGACACGACTACTGGGGGTGGTGGAAGGAAGGGGGGACGATGATCTGATCCATCGTTACAATATTTTGATACTTCTTTTAGTATATTAGATATATGGTTAGCGGTATTCTCGTCGGACCCACGTTCCGAATCTTTTGCGGCGAACTGAAAAGAAAACATAAAATTTATTTAGAAGAAGAAGAAATATATGATATATAGAATTAAGAGACTTTTCGGTTGTGATCAGAACGTAAGTTTATTGTATACACTTTGTATCTCTAACAGCATTTGTCTGAGTAATAAATTAAAATGCCTTGAAATCGAATACCCAATTACTCGGCAGTTGGTAGTAATTCGTCTACGATTACCTGAACAAATTACAGTAACATGTAACAAGAGAATTAACCCACAATTTTAGTGTTTATCAGAATTTGAATACTCTCCTTCATATAATAATTTGGTTTATTTTTTTTTCTTATGTCGCCGTATTATTATCGATGTTTGTAAAAAATAGATACTTAATCCGTCATTTAAAAAATCCAAAGTTTTATATACATCTAGGTAAATAAATAAATTAGTAAAGGAATAATATATAAATCTTACCCCAAGAAAAAGTAAAACCAAATAATCACAATACATATTTATATAATTACGCAAGCGTATATTAAATTTAGCTATGGGTTTGAGAGTTAAAATGATTGAGGTACAGGCACTTTTATACTTGCTTATCAAAATATCGTCATCAAAACGTGGAAGTAAAATAAAATATTGACGTTTTATTAATTTGTAAATTTAATATTAACAAGTACATTACTCAGACTATTATACGTTTCGTTACAATTGAATTCACAATTTCACACAAACTTGCTACAGCATATTAAAAAATAAACAATATTAAAAACTACATTCGTT